GATGGTTGTGTAGCTTCAGATGGTTGTTGATGGTTGTGTAGCTTCAGATGGTTGTGTAGCTTCAGATGGTTGTTGATGGTTGTGTAGCTTCAAATGGTTGTGTAGCTTCAGATGGTTGTTGATGGTTTTGTAGCTTCAGATGGTTGTTGATGGTTGTGTAGCTTCAGATGGTTGTTGATGGTTGCGCAGCCCCAGATGTTTGTCTTTGTTAATGGTTGTGTAGCTCTGGCAGCGTTCAAACAACACTGAGTGATTTCTGCAGCTGGTGACCGAGTCGTGCAGAGGAGCTGTGGAGTTGCGGTGACTCTTGTTGCTGTTCGCAGACTCACACGCCATCTGTTCTGTCTGCCTGTACTTGCTGTGTCCTGCAGGATCATGCTGGTCTGTGCCAAGCGGTCACTATATGCTGCTTTCTCAGTGCTGCCGTATGGAGGGCGTGTTCACCTCAGGTACAACGAAAGCACCCACGACGCCGTCAGCCCCGCCCCTCATTGTTCTGTTTTCATCCTCCTGTGTGATCCACGCTGCTCTCAGAAACGTTGTGCGTTTGCAGCGACTGCTGGAAGTGACATGTGTTTTTTTGTGAACAGTGATCCGAAGTTGGACACTCAGAGACAAAGACTGTCCTCTGTGGTGGCTCCTGATCTGCGTCCTGCCCTGGAAGGTGTGGAGCTGGGTGCTTTTGGGAAGGTTCGTCTCACATTTATAGAAACATTGTTTTTATTTACAGGTAAGTGCTCCCCTTCCTGACTGTCTCACTCCTCCTCTGTAGACGGTGTCCTACGCTCAGTTCCTCTACCCGACCAACGCCTTGGTGAGACAGAAGAGCAGCGGCGTGCCAGAGAGCTGCACAGCTCAGACCCCTCAGTCTCGTTTTCGTGGCAACGGGCCCAAAAGCCTCAGTTTGGCTCGTCTGAACAGCAGCGTCCCACAAGACCCTCGTATGTCTCTGAACGTCAACACAAACACGTCTTTCTGGACATGTTTGAGACTCTTGTCTGTTCCAGATGCAGAGGAGGCGGCAGATTATGACCCCAACCTGCTCAGTGACCCTCAGTGGCCCTGCGGGAGACACAAGAGGGTTCTCATATTTGCATCCTATGTGGTGAGAAGAACCTTAACTCTAATGGTTGGACCACCTGATTATGTTTGTATGGAAACTTTAAATGTTCTAACATCCAACAAGGACTGCATCAGCAGTTCAGACTTCAAAGAGCTACAAGACATCACTCCAAGTCTTTGGGGTGAATTATGTACTGGTAATGGTTAGGTAGGGCTGGACGTTATGGACAAAACTTTTATCACAATATATTTTTTAATTTCGGTCTAACGATATAATTTGATATCGATATTAACAATTTAAAAGCCTCGGAAAAACTGTACAAATAAATTTAAATAAAGTTCAGAATAAAAGGACGAGCCAGCCCCTGGTTTACTCCAGAGCTAGCTGACCTCCTGCACAGGAGAGACCATCTTTGGGCCGCAGCGAGAAAATCTGACTCAGACACTGATTGGTTGAGTTTTCGACAGATGAGGAATAAATGCACAACTGCTGTCAAAGCAGCAAAACGCAACTATTTCTTATCTTAGACCTCCAAAAATCTAAATGACCCTAACAGATTCTGGAAAACCATCAAATCTCTCTCAGGCACCCCCCAATCATCTGACCTCCCATCACAACTTCACGTTAACTCTGTTCCTGTGTCAAATAAGCACGAGATCCTGAACTGTTTCAACAAACATTTTGTTGCTTCTGGTTCTTTATTTGACACAGTTACTAACAGAAAATCAGCCATTTCCCCTAATAACCAAACTTCTACAAATCAAATCCCTCCTACAAGTCAATCCTCAGTTAATCACACCTTCTCTTTTTCTCCATTCTCAGTCAGTGAGGTTAATAAACTGTTAAAAGATCTTGACCCTAAAAAATCTGCAGGTCCAGATGAACTTCCACCTTATTTCTTAAGGCTGGCTGCTCATATCATCACAGTCCCTGTGACCCACATCTTCAATCTCTCCATAAGACAAAACTCCATCCCAGACACTTGGAAAACAGCCTTTGTTCTTCCTTTGCTGAAGGGAGGTGACCCCACCTCACTGAACAACTATGGACCAATCTCTAAACTCTGCATTTTAGCCAAGGTTCTAGAAAAACTGATAAACTCTCAAATCAAAAATTACCTGGACTCATTTAACATCTTACCTCCACATCAATCTGGTTTCAGGAAACAACACAGCACAACCACTGCTTCACTGAAGGTTCTTAATGATGTTGTTGAAGCACTGGATGCTAAGGATTATTGTGCTGCACTTTTCTTAGACCTGTCTAAAGCTTTTGACACTGTGGATCATAACATCTTGTGTCATAAACTCTCAGAAATCAGTTTCTCAGAACACACCATTGGCTGGTTCTCTAACTATCTTTCAGACCGGAGGCAATGTGTTCAACATAATGGTACTTCCTCCAGTTATTTAACAGTCAACAATGGTGTCCCACAAGGCTCAGTCTTAGAACTAGGGGTTGAACGAGTATATAATTTTAAAACTCGACATTAACATAATAAAACCTGAGTAGAACTCGAGTATTTGATGACGTCATAGATCTCAAGATACAAAAATAAATAAATAAAACCGCAAAAAAGGTAATTATTTACCAAAAAAAAGACCAACAAAACATTGGGAGCGTATATTATGCTCCTACCATTTATCATACTGCAAATAAGTCACAGGAAAAACTAAACTATTAGTTATTATTATTAAACTGCAAACGTGAAGAAATGTGCAGCATGTCAAAAACGAAACTTAAACCGAAACTGGTTCTGGTTCAGTGGATTGGACCCGGTGTGACCTGCAACAGTGCAACACCACCCCTACAGTCATACGGTGGTCACATAATATGACGTCACTACGGATACTCAACGTAACATTTTTAACCTCGATAGATGTCCTAGCAATCGATGTGTAGATTACTCGAGTACTCTGTTAATGCCCTACTTAGAACTCACCCTCTTTACAATCTACATACATAATGTTGGTAAAAACATCCCTAATGCATCCTTACATTTCTATGCTGATGACACAGTTGTTTATTGTCGAGCTAAAATGGTTACTAAGGCTTTCCAGCTTTTGAAATCTGCATTTAACATCATCCAGACAGATTTATTCCGTCTCAAACTGGTGCTAAATGCAGATAAAACCAAAGGGATGCTTTTTTCAAACAGGAAGTCAGTCCCATCAGTTCTTCCTCCGATTTTATCCTCAAATGGTGTCCCCATTGAGTTTGTTGATTCCTATAAATATTTGGGTATCTTGGTCGACTCACATCTCTCTTTTAAGCTCCATGTGGAAAACCTAGTAAGGAAGCTGAAAGTTAAACTGGGTTTCTTTTTCAGAAACAGATCCTGTCTAACCCTGAATGCTAGAAAACGCCTTGTATCTGTGACTTTCCTTCCCTCCATTGACTACGGTGACATTATTTACATGAACGCTCCTACAAGCACCCTGCAGATGTTGGATGCTGTCCATCATGGTGCACTAAGATTCATAACTGGCTGTGATTATCGTACCCACCACTGCACCCTGTATTCACTGGTTAACTGGACATCATTAACTTGACACAGATTCTCCCACTGGTACATTTTCATCTTTAAATCACTTCTTGGTCTGCTGTCTTCATACATCTTCTCCTACATGTCTCTGTGTGAGTGCAGCTACAGCGTGCGCTCTCAGGACATTATTACCTGCAGTGTTCCCTCAATGAGGACTGAACTTGGCAAAAGGGCCTTCTCCTACTCCGCTCCTGTTTCCTGGAATATCTTACAAAAAGATTTGAAGCTCTCGACCTTGACCTCTCTAAGTGGCTTTGTTGGACTCTTGGCAGGGACCAATGTAGACATGTTCCTGTTTTTAGTTTTCTACATTTGCCTTATAATCTAGCTGTTTTTGTTACTTTTTTTGCCTTATTTGTAAAAAAAAAAAAAAAAAAAAAATCTGTATGCCTTTTTTATAACTGTCTGTTGTCGCTGTTGTCCACTGTTGTCATCATTCTTTGTTGAAATCAGGTCTCTCTTGTAAATGAGTCCTCGAGGCTCAATGGGATTTACCTGTCTAAATAAAGGTTGAATGAATTAATTAATGTTTATCTTTTATTTGTATTTAGCCTTCAAAATTTTTGAATTCACCCTCAAATGAACGTAAAACTCTCAACTTTGTCAATATTAATAGTTTTAACTCTAAGCAACAACATAACCTAAACTCTTTTTGAAGCAAAAGCTTAACTCGCGTTGGAGCTTAGCCTAGCCCGCTAACGTCTTCTGGACTCGAGCTCTGCGTGACGTCTATGACACCACGCACTTACGTTGTTGTGTCACAACTTTTTCTGTCCGGGTTGAAACTGAAGAGGCCGCTTCAACCCAAACAGAAAAGGAAATGCGTCAGTGAAACGCTGTAATCATATCGAAATATCAGAAATGTGCTTAAAACTCATATCACCGTTATTGAATAAAAGTGTATCGCGATATATATCAATATCGAATTATTGTCCAGCCCTAGGGTTAGGTATGTACTGGTAATGGTTAGGTTTAGGGTTAGGAACGTACTGGTAATGGTTTAGGGTTAGGTACGGACTGGTAATGGTTAGGTTTGGGTTTAGGTATGTACTGGTAATAGTTGGGTATGTACTGGTAATGGTTGGGGTTGGGTATGTACTGGTAATGGTTGGGGTTAGGTATGTACTGGTACTGGTAATGGTTAGGGTTAGGTATGTACTTGTAATAGTTAGGTTTAAGGTTTGGTATGTACTGGTAATGGTTAGGTATGTACTGATACTGGTTAGGGTTAGGTATTTACTGGTAATGGTTAGGGTTAGGTATGTACTGGTAATGGTTAGGGTTAGGTATGTACTGGTAATGGTTAGGTTTAGGGTCAGGGTTAGGCTATAGAAATTAATAAAAAATGAATGGAAGTCAATGCAAAGTCCCTGTAAAGATAGATAATCTTTGTGTGTGTGACACATTAGGACAAGGGTTGCTTAATTTGATTTGTAAATTTCTCTCGTTCAGTGTTGGGCGTTCTGCAGTCTCTTAACTAAGCTGTAGTCATGTTGGAGACAACGGCTCCATTGAGCTGTTTTCACATGAGCTTTATTGCGTCTCACTGAGTCACATGGCTCTAACCTCTAGCTGTGTTTGTGTGTGTGTGTGTGTGTGTGTGTGTGTGTGTGTGTGTGTGTGTGT